TTACAAAAACCTTCCATAGCTAAAGGGGCACCAAAATTGTAAATTGTATGGTCCTCAACCCCCAAGGGCCTGAGAGGCAGTGCCAAAGAGTGTTAAATTGATAGAAACTTCAAAAGTCTTCTTGTCAAATCCTAGGTATGGTAGAATCAAGTACTCTTCATGGATGGAAGGCTTTCAGATGTTTTACCAAAATTGTAAATTTCATGACTCCAGGGTCTCACATTTCCCCTTAAGGAGGTGGTAAAATTTACTATAGTTTATATAAGAAAATTACATTTTTGAACATCATTTGTTTATATTCTATTTGAAATAGTTCAGACCTGCTTAGAATTTATTAGATGACAGTTTAATGAAATTAACATTTTGACATTGGCTGACCCATGGACTGATGAGCAGGGTCGAAAATGGGTCAAATTGACTAAAATTTTAAAGATAATCTACAGTTCCTGGATGGAAGATTTTAAAAAGGGAAATTCAAATTTGAAAATTTCTTTTAATTCAAACTTGGTTAGAAGCCTTAGCATGGGACAGCAGTTAATGTATACACAGTTTACATTGACATTATGTTTACAACATAGTCAAAGTTATATTGTTTTTTTAAACAAAAATCATTTCTATGGCATATTACAAAAAGCATTGTTATTCAGTTGACTGTTAAGGCCCATGGATCTCTTGTAATTTTGAAATTTTTAAAAGCTGGTTCATTGTAATGAATAATCAGGTAAATCATGTATTTTGCACTATATAAGAATGTTGTGATATGGCCAATATCAGATTGTATTGACAATCCTCAGAACAGTCAATACTGCCTCTCCCTTGTGAGCTACTTAGACTGTACACTTTTATAATTAACCCTTCTAGATACTCTACTTTCGTACTTTTTCTCATCATTTGAAAGACAGAAACATCATAAAATAAGGAATTGTATCAGGAGATGTTTTTTGTTGAGCGTCTTTTATATCATACTTAGACAAGAGAATGTTGTGTTCACAAGGTAGAGACATATGCTTACTTTAACTACTTCATCACAGCACTCTTTTTCACATGGGAAATGTTTCATGGTGTGTCAAATTTTTGCATTAGAAAGTTTTTATTTAAATGGATTTTTGAAAAAAGATTTCTTTGATATGGGGGAAGATAAGAGACTTGACCTGTATATATATGTTACATATATATTTATATGTAAATGTTTATCAGTTGTAAAGTAGTGTAGATCTGGAAAATTCTTTTTAACGACCATATATATACAGAATGTATACGTCTCAGGAAATGGGTGTGAATGCTTTTAAATGATAGCAATCTGGAAGGAAAATCAATTTTGTTGTTCATAAGGGGCTGTTTATTTTAAACAATAGAATACCAGATCAATAGGATTTCAAATTTTTTTCTAGTACCATATGTATCAATGTCTGGGCCAGATCTGCATTTTCTGTACCACAGTTGCAATGCATGCAGGTATTATTGTACAGTAATATGGTAGATCATATTAGAGTTTTGAAAGCACAGGTAATTCAATCTAGATATTATGTTTGTATCACCAATCACCATTGTTTCAAGTTTTCTACCTTTGCAACTTATTTAGGGATTTATATGTCAGGTGTGACAAATAGAAGATGTGGTATTGTAAATGTTGTGTTCAAGGAGCTTTCAAATAAAAAAAAGATTACACAGTGCTTTGAAAAGCCGAATTAGTTGGTAATAAATTTATATATCACAGGTATTTAATATAGATTTCCCAATATATTTATCTTTTTGTACATTTAAAATGTGTTGGAATCAAAATATACACTTGTAAATCAGGTTTCCATTAAATGTAAAGATAAATCGGCATAATTTCTTTTGAACTTTTGTAGAATGAAGGTACGTATAAAATGAAAAATATTAACAGAAATATTGAAGTTTGTTGAGTTAACTGACAACATATATTTCAAAGTTTCAAACGACAAAAAAAAAAAGAATGGATTTATTACAGTATAGTATAATAGCCTTGTTTTTAACTGTACTGAACAACATTAAATATAGGGAAGGGGGCTTATTACAGGATAGTATAATAGCCTTGTTTTTAACTGTACTGAACAACATTAAATATGGGGAAGCGGGCTTATTACAGGATAGTATAATAGCCTTGTTTTTAACTGTACTGAACAACATTAAATATGGGGAAGGGGGCTTATTACAGGATAGTATAATAGCCTTGTTTTTAACAGTACTGAACAACATTAAATATGGGGAAGGGGGCTTATTACAGGATAGTATAATAGCCTTGTTTTTAACAGTACTGAACAACATTAAATATGGGGAAGGGGGCTTATTACAGGATAGTATAATAGCCTTGTTTTTAACTGTACTGAACAACATTAAATATGGGGAAGGGGGCTTATTACAGGATAGTATAATAGCACTTGTTTGTAACTGAAATGAATAGCATTAGATATGGGAAAGGGGGCTTATTACAGGACAATATAATTGTGCTTGTTTGTAACTGATCTGAACAGCATTAAATATGGAGGAGGGATATGGGAGAGGGGGCTTATTACAGGACAATATAATAGCACTAGTTTGTAATTTAATATGGCTCGGTTTATTACAGGAGATTAAAATTGTATGTGTGTGTAATTAATCGAAACAGTAAAGAAATTGATGGCCTGATTACCATGTGAACACAACCTTAATGCTTGTTAAATATGGTATACAATTTTAGATGATTGAAAAATATTTATTTCTAAAGTGTTCAAGTAGGGACCATTACTCCTTTCCCCTACTATTTTATCTACACAAACGTGTGAATCTAAGGGAATGAAGTGGAAGCAGGAATCTTTATGTGTCAGGTTTCATGTTCTCCCTAATTGTCAGTTTGTTCTGTTACATTAGATAATAATATAAAGTGACCTTGTAATGCTATCATTAGTAACTTGTACACTTGTGAATGTCTTTGACCGAATTGTTATGTTATTGTTCTGTGATAAGTCCATCCTCTTATTTTAATTGAGAATTAAGGTGTTAGCACTGTGGACTTACTGGAGGGTAATTTTACAGTAATATCATCAATTTTCGTAGAGTTTTATTTTCATTGATATTTGAATAGCTAGTACTCTTGATCCACAACTCCCTGATTCCATGAAATAGACATAGGAAGATTGATTTGGCTATATTTATCCACAAAAAAGTGTTTACGAAACATTACTTTCATGAAAAACTATGAAAATTGCATCCCTTAAAAGTATATTCTGTAAAATAAGATTTTTTTGTTGAGCTGAATGTTTATGGTTTAGAAAAGGGAAAAAAAATGAAAGTAATGATTCATAGTTTATGAGATCCATACAATGTAGGATGCTTTCATGTTGCTCTTCTGTCAATTTGTATTGGCTTGTAATGTCTGGACCACATATTTTTGACTTTTTGAGTTTCCAAGGACTTTTCTGTTTCTAAAATGTCAAAGATTAACTGAAAAATACTTAGACAGTTTTATAACCTTTGTTGAAATTGTTTTTCGTTGTTTAAGATGCTTGTCCTGTTGTGGGATTTTAGTGGTGAGAGTATACATATTGTTTAAGGATCCAGAGTGACGTACATGTTGAGAGGATAATTAGGTCTTTGTTGTGGTAGACTAGTAATGCGTTACTAACACAGATATCTAATAGTATATATGTAAACAAGATATTCCTGAACACAGATCTGATGTACCAATTAAACCTTTCACTTATGTACAGGTTGTATTTGTGATTATATTGTGTAATAAACATTGATTCTGACTTTAAATACATTCGTTAAGATTGCCCACTGGTTTTTTCTTTAGTCGCTATATTTCACAAAATGCCTCTCTGTTAGTCTATCTCTACCGTTTTACCAAAACACACTGTCTGCAATAAGACAATTTTACTGGAGAGGTCACCAATAAGTTTTACCTACAAATGTATGAAGACTTGACAAATGGTGTGGACATGACCCAAATTCTTAAAAAGAAAACAAAGTGCTAAGAGGATAGAGTATCACTTATTAAATTCATCCCTTCATTGTGTTATTGTTGTAACGTCTATAGCATTCAGCTTATTGTTGTTATACCTTGTAATAATGAATGGATCTGACTAACAAATGACAGGTTAACCTGGTACGTTGTGAACCATAGAGTGTCAGAGAAGACAGGTTAACTTGAGTGATACAATGTGCCCCACAGGGTATCAGATTAGACAGGTTAACTAGAGTGATACATTGTTCCCAACATAGTGTCGGATTAGACAGGTTAACTTGTCTGATACATTTTGCCTCACAGGGTGTCAGATTAGACAGGTTAACTGGACTGATACATTTTGCCCCACAGGGTGTTGGATTAGACAGGTTAACTTGTCTGATACAATGTGCCCCACAGAGGGTCAGATTAGACAAGTTAACTTGTCTGATACAATGTGCCCCACAGGGTATCAGATTAGACAGGTTAACTAGAGTGATACATTGTTCCCAACATAGTGTCGGATTAGACAGGTTAACTTGTCTGATACATTTTGCCTCACAGGGTGTCAGATTAGACAGGTTAACTGGACTGATACATTTTGCCCCACAGGGTGTTGGATTAGACAGGTTAACTTGAGCGATACATAATGTCCCACAGATGTCAGATTGGACAGGTTAGCTTGTCTGATACAATGTGCCCCACAGGGTGTCAGATTAGACAGGTTAACTTGTCTGATACAATGTGCCCCACAGAGTGTCAGATTAGACAGGTTAACTTGTCTGATACAATGTGGTGCACATGGTGTTGGATTAGACAGGTTAACTTGTATGGTAAATTTTGTCCTTCATTGTATCAGATCGGATTGGTCATTACTCATATAACATCTGCCATTCAATGAATTCACATGAGTAATGCTGTTGGTTAAAAAATCAGATTCACAAATGAAGTTGGAAGTACATGTTTAAATACATGATGAATATTCTTGGACATATAGTATTCATCATTGTTGAAATGTTACATTCTAATAGTTGCTTTCTTTTCTGTGTTTCAGAGGCTGTCTAAGCTCTTCAAAAGTATCACATGACAGGGAATGTAGCAGGGGACATCACTCTGCAGTACTACAGGCATGTTAAGAAATCTACACTGTCAGCACACTTCAGAAGGGGACATAACTCTTGATGCCACCACTAACGTTGACAGCAATTTACTGTGCTGCAGAGAAAAAAATAACTATGGACGACTTCATAAAACCATAGATATTACCATGAATTTTTCACTGCTGACCTGAAATCAAAACTCCTTGTTTTATAGTCATTGTCAAAGATAGAGTTAATGAAATAAGATTGACAAAGGAGACAACTTTAATTGTCTGGAGTTACTGTTTGACAAGGAATGTTTCAAATAAGACATACCTTACATTCACTTTAAATATAGTGATAGCTATTCAGGATTTTATAGATCTGAGAGATGATGAGCCAGTTTTAAACACAGTTCTTATTTTATAATCCGATATATTTAAGTCTGTATGTGCACCGACAATGTATATATACAGAATATTATAATTGTATTCTTTGTTATTGAGTAGGTAAATTATTTAGTAACTTGTAAATAAACTTAATATCACAATTGGAGGTTTGATAAATTGGTACATATGTTAACAAATATTAAAATCAGGATTATCTAGGAAAATAAATAAAATAAACAGAATTTAGTGTGTAACAGTGAATGCCTAAATGGAAATCATACATTATGTTAATGTTCAAGAACTGTCAGCCCAGAATTGACCTCACTGAAAGAAAACCAGGCTTTGTTTCAGTTATTGATGTCAAGAAAAACATTAAAAAACATAATGATGATATAACTTGGAATATGTGGGTAATGTAATGAAATAGAAGTATTTGGTGGACATTTTTCCTGAGCGAGTTATTACTAACACTAGTGGATAGTGTTTTTATTGAGCCAGAGAAAATCGTTAAGTGTGGCCATGTTATGAGGACTATCTTTGGTGTGACAAGACAAGTCTCTGTTCTACATCTTAGAACCTATATTAATGGAATATTTGATTTCACATTCATTAACTATAAGTATAGAACTCCATTAACATTAAGAATAAATGTGAATATGATATATGAAAGAGATATGACAAAAGGTTTGTTAACTTCTAATTGCTTTTCGGAGAAAAATAGGACAATGTTTTGAAATGACATGTGTTTGGAATCGTAAAATTTCCCTATTTTTTTTTTTAACTTTTGAAGTTTCTAGATGTCAATCAAGAAGCAGTTGTAAGCTTTGGGCAAGCATTTATTTCGATTGTTTTTTTCATCCAGTTTAATCGCACCATGTCGTTAGTTTAAATATTGACAGAAAATTGCAAATTGTATCTTATTTAGATGTTTCTCAGAAACTGTATTCCAAAGAAATGCCATTTCTATGAAAACAAACAGTTCTATGATTGAGTATAAAGTGTGCTCAAAGTGTAAGAGGACTTATAAGAAATCCTCTGGTTGATCACACTCCTTTTTTCTATCATATAGAATTGTAAGTTCAGAAAGGTGACATGTTCATTAATGAACAACTGTTCAATATTCCTTTGTTTTGTACTCTCCTCTAAGGGTCATTGACAAATTTGTATTGATATTTTAGGAAAGGGGTTGTTAAAACAGAGGTGCGAGATCTGTCCTGATTCATGTCTGGGTAATATATAGGATAATGCTGTAGAACAGGGACTTGTATATGTAAGATCTGTGCTGATTCGTGTCTGGGTTATATATAGGATAATGCTGTAGAACAGGGACTTGTATATGTAAGATCTGTCCTGATTTGTGTCTGGGTTATATTTAGGATAGTGCTGTAGAACAGGGACTTGTATATGTAAGATCTGTCCTGATTCGTGTCTGGGTTATATATAGGATAATACTGTAGAACAGGGACTTGTCAGTGATGTTGTTACTTGATATGGATGTTTGAATTATTTCTGTATAAATCAGTGTGTTAACATTTTTCTATCAAAGGTTGTCTCTTATAAGAGAGAGAAACAAGTCACTGTAAATAGGCGACTGATGCTGAGCCTACTTAAAAAAGTGCATACAAATTCCATATTTTTATTTTCTCTTGAATCTTGCTCCATCATTACAGTCAGTACATCATCATAAACATTCTGCCAAAATCCACACCATGGACCAAAACACTGTGACCTTAATATTTTCCTAACAATTTCACTTATGACTCACAATTATATACAAAATGTATATATTGACAGTATGAAGATTGCCATGGTAACCTGAAATGACTTTCATGGGTCCCTGAATGGATATTGGAGGTTAACCACACCAGACCAAATGTTTTCTTTTTCATTGAGCCTAAAGATTAATTGCAGTAGTACATTGTGTAACCTTCAAATGTATTAAAAGTTGTTATACCTTTAAAGGGTGGTGACAGCGACCTAAAAACTTGTGCAAATGTAAATTCACACTTCATGAAGTCTATTATGTGTAATTGGTATATTGTATTGCTTTCAAGGGATTTTACTACCATGATCACAAAGCTGTATATTTTGTGTGATTGGTATAGCTTTCAAGCTTTTCAACTACTATGATCACAAAGCTTTTTATTTCTCAGCCACCATGATCACACAATTGTATTTTTGCGTAATTGGCATTGCTATTTGGAGACCAATGTAAATCTTTAATTTTCCCCAAAAATAAGTGAAATTTTCACTGTTATTTCATGATTAATTATCTTTTCATTGTCAAAATGTAATAATTACAATTTATCCAAATATTCTGTCTTGACTAAGAATGAATAGCTGTAAGTTCTTAATGCTGAAGAAGATTCTTTGTGCATCATAACATCTCATACAGTGTGTGTGTGTAAAAGATGTTGTAACCACAAGTGCTGATGTGTTGGATGTTTTCGGCCTATACATGTGTAACATTAATTGTTTCAATTAAATATTGTATAGTATTTTTTTAGAAGCTGATTAATTTGGGTTGAAAGATAGGAATCAATTTTGAAAAGTATATTTCAAATCCAGAATCAATAAACGTTTACACCGTCATACTTTACATAGCAATTAGATATAACTGATTTTCAGAAGGAATTTCTTTACAGTGAAACCATCATTTTATGAATTTTATTATGTGAAAATTTTACAACTATATTGGATCATCTTTAATATTTTTCATGATATTAAGCATATACTAATATTTCATTTTAATTGTGTGGTCTTTTTGACCCGGAAGCTTCTGAAAAGTTATGCAGTATTCATGTTTCATATCAATACTCGGCCATGTTTAAGAATATCAATACATGCAACAAAAATGTATTTGATGTGATATTAAGTTCAGCCACTTTCAAAATAAAATTAAGAGTTGTTCAATTGCTATTTGTGCAGCAAACTTTGCTTGTGCTATTTCGTGGCAATTTTGTGCAAATCTGTGTAATAATAAGAAGTATCTGCTTGAACACAATTCACCCTGTCCAGTGCTGCTGATGGTTCATCATGCTGTTTTTCTTTATTTGGTGAATATTGACTTGTGCAATTGTTGTGCACATATACAGTTGTTATCAGAAGCGGCCTATCTGTGGCTATTTAGTAACATATGTTGTAATCTATACAAGTTTGTGTATTCTGCAGGTCGGATCACTGACACTGATCAGTACTATTGCTATTGTCAGGGTTTTTACTTTCAAGACTAGAAGAGTTAATCCCCTTACATGTTAAATTTAGCATGATTATCTCCCTTAGGAGAAATATTAAGTGTACTAAAAATTATTAGCGAAGAATTCTCCTCAATGTATACCTAATATTTTTATGTAAATTTTTAATCAAGAACTATTGTATACTTTGAAAATAAAGATAAGTTTTTTCATATATACCTTGGGCTTGTTCTGGATGATTTGCATTAAGATAAACTATTTTATTTACATATATGGCAATACAAAAAGTAAGAGGTCAAAGTAACTACCATGTCTCTTATGTTGAATTGAAAAATTAAACCAGGTAATATGATCCACATACATACTTAGGATGTGTCAACAGTTATTTTCCCTTTTTCTTTCTTATTCTTTTTTTTTTTTTTTACTTTCAATGCTATATAACTTCTTACAAGAAAAAACATGGGTTATTTTAATATTGAAAGTAAGGCAATTTTTAAATCAAATGATTTGATATGGCAGACTTTAAGCTAGGAAAACAAATACATAGCTTCAATGAGTACACTAGATGAGTAGGATCTAGAACCATCACATCTTTGTTGTATGACATTATTAAGTTTTAGATCTCTGAATATAACTTCAGGTTTTTAAATCTACTTCCCTAAAAAGTACAAACTCCAACAGTTCCTTCTACAGGATTCTAGAGCAGAACCTTATATGAAAATAGAGATTGAAGCATGAAAAATATCATGTGATAATGACTATTTTTGTGTTCATAAACAGATTATAGAAAAGATGCTTACCTGATTATACTAATGTATTCAGTCTTCACTGGAAAATGAATAAATTGTTTGAAAATAACATTGTTGATGCGAGAAGATTTGCAAGATTTGAGGTAAGTTTATATATATGTTGAAATGTTGGCCGGCATGTCTATGGTGACAGAGCGTCATCTTTCAGAAGATTGCTACTTAGAAATTGGATTTTGTTTGTCTAAAGCAACTTGAAGATATATATGACAACAATAAATTGTCTACAATAGTTTTTAAATTGTGATATTTTAGTCCAGAGTTAGTACTTGTCATATTTTTAATGGCGTTAGAAATATAGATTTTGTTACAAATGTAATCTTTTGTATCAACTGTATAAATGACCAAATACCTTACACTCCTCCCCCCCTCCCCTCCTACCATACACAACCACAGCACCACACACTTCCCCACCAAAACATGTAAATAGACATGTATGTAGCATTATATTGTACACTCTAATTTTTGTGACCCAACTTCTCAGTGCATTTATGATACTTTACGATGGCGTTATAGAGTTTAAAAATTACGCAATGTATCAGATATGTTAAGATTGTACAGTGTATCAGAATGTTTCTCTGTAAAAAAATAAAAAAAAAAAAAGGCACCTGAAAATTTGAACCTTTGAAAAAACACTTTCTAAGGTGTTTAGTAAAAAAGCAATGACAGATGTTCTATGTTATAAGTATGCAATAAATATACACAAAGTACAATATTGCTAGCTTAATTGATTTCCTCTGGTCAACCTGATATTGGCTAAATGATTGCCCTGTTAAAATCCTGAAAATTGCTAGAGTCACCCAATATATTCTGACTTTTGTTAAGTACTTGAAAAATTCAAAGTAATTCAATTTATTTTTTATATCTCATTTTATAAAAATGATCAAACATAACAGAACATCATCTAAATACATAAAAATGTGATGATTAAACCATAGAACTGATTAAAAGGTGTTTTTCCTTAAAAAAAGCCTGTCACCCTTGATTGTAGGCCTTAAACCAGATATTAGATGATTAGAGGTAAGCATGCAGGTAGATATAAAAGAGTTAAGGAAATCAGATTTTTAGGTCGCCTGAGCCGAAGGCTCATGGTGACCTTTGCCATCATGATTTGTCTGTTGTCGCGTGTCGTTAACTTTTCACATATTCGACTTCTTCTCAAGAACCACTGAATGGATTTTGACAAAACTTGAAACAAAGCATCCCTATGGGAAGCTGCTTCAAGTTTGCGAAGAAAAAGGGTGTGGCTCCAATATTGGCTGCAAAAGGGGGAAAAAGGGGGGAAAAGGGGGTAAAATTAGGCAAATCTTTTAAAATCTTCTTCTCATGAACCAACAGTCAGATTAAATTCATATTTGATATTTAGGGTCCTAATGGCAAGGTTTACAAAGTTTACGAATAAAAAAAAAATTGGGTGAAAAACGGCCCCACTAGGGGGCGCTCAAAAGGGTCGAAAATTCAACTTTGACCGATTTCAACCAAATTTGGTAGACAGCATCCCTTAGTGAAGAACATATGAAATTATGTTGAAAAAAGTGATAATGTCCCCTTTGGGGCCCATAAGGGGTGTAAAAAGGGCCATTTGTAAAAACCTTCATTAAATGACTACTTCTCAAGAACCAGTGGATGGATATTGACCAAACTTGGCACAAAACATCTGCATGGGAAGCCCCTTCATGTTTGTGAAGAAAAAGGGCATGGCCCCAATAGGGGCCCCAGGAGGGGAAAAGGGGAAACTTGATACGAATGTTCTACACAAGGTCCTGGCAAGTGTTTTAACTTTTTGGGGCAATTCAAAATCCAAGATGGCCACCCTGGCCTCTGTTTGGCTAGGACATTATGGACTTCCTCTCAAGAACCCTTGGTTGGGTCATGTTCAAACTTGGTACAGATGTTTTACACATGGTCCTGCACAAGTGTTGTTACATTTTTGCAACATTTTAAAATCCCCAGATTACTGACATATATTCCTCAGGTGACCGTTAAGGCCCCTTGGGCCTCTTGTTATCTTACTTGTCCATTTGTTTTAGCTCAATTTGCCTTATAATGATGGAAAATGAGTGATAAATTTTGTAAATAATAAGATTAGTGTAGAAATTCTACACTGCCTACACTGATAAATGTTAGGTTTTAAAGTAAATTCATGATATAAATTGTATGAATATTGTTAGTTTTAAAGAGTGTCTTTGTAGTCAATTCACTGCTTATGAACTTTTCTTTTCTTGCCATCCTATTTAGATTTCAAACAATTTCTTCGGTTGTTTTAAGCTAATTGATTCAAAAAAGGATTTAAAGCACATCAAGTTCAATAAGATTAAACATTTTTAAAGTAGAAGTTTGAAAAATTAGGTGCCAAAGAAATTAACAGCATTTCTTGGAAGTTGTTAAGTTGTGGTTGGTCAGTATTGGTGTGTCAACATGCCATTCTATTCAAAGATTGTCATTTGTTTCTTTTTTCTCATATAATTTCATTATAATCAAAAGATACACGTTAAATATTTTTACAGAATGATCATTCATAATCATATAAAGTTATGGTCAACCTTCCAGGGAAGTTTATAGAACAATGATATTGTACTTGTTGACGAGGTTAAGAATGTTATGTATCATTACAATTTATATGTATTTTACAGACCCAAGAATCATTAATTATAACTAGTTAAAGGACATTGTTCATCTAAAAAAAAGTCATTTTCTTTTTGATTTGAGAAACATTGATTCAAGAAAGTCTTAGTTTAGAATTTCTGATGAAATTTGAGAATTAAAATAAGAACCTTCACAAAAGTTAAGATTTTTTTGGTGAAAGTCTCATTGTAATCACAGTTGTTTGTTTTTTTAATTTTTTTTTTGCAAATATTTTTTTATTTAATGATAACCAAAGCAACTGTGTTGTAATGAATGCTTGAGAAAGATTTCCCACTTATTAAGCTAACACAAACCATAAGTGACTTTTTAATAATCTGTCCAAAACAATTATAGACACATTGCTGGTATGTTGATGTTTTCCATGTATGTCTAAATAGTCTGTATACACATTACTTTTTATAGATAATTAGGCACATTTTATTATTTTGATAAGTTTGTAAGTCCAAGGTTTTTTCTAACTAGCAGAACAAAGATAAGTTTTAAAAAAAAAGTGGTCTTAATCCTGAAGACTAGTTAAAATCACAATAGAATTGATATGGACAGAATCAGCTTCAGACCTGATATAGATGTCAGCATCCGAGTCACAGAAAGGGTCAGGATCTTTTTGTCAGGTTGCAAAGTCAGTGTGTCTGTTGTCAGTATTATATCGTAATAAAAAAAACTTTTGTATGTCTGTACAGTTTCACTTTTCTATGGTCAGGAGATGCCCAAGTGTTGCTCTTGTAAATTGTTTACCTCCCTGGCTTGTTTTGATTCTTCAAAGATTTATCATCCAGGAATGAGTGATATGTGTCAATGTTTCTGGACTAAGGTTCCTGTTGACATGTATAGAAATCTGCAAAACAATGATATTACTTTACAATGGATTGGATGTTGGCTTTCAGTCATAGTTTTCTTGTGTTATGATTATTGTAAAATGAATAGCTTACAAAATATAGCCATTTCTTTTAGGTGAAGTTAGACAGAGGTGTGAAATTGGTCAAGTTTACACTGGCAAAGTGAATGAAGTAGTTTCCATCATGAGATGCATTACAACAAACAGGTTGTGTAATTTTTCAGAACATACAACTGAAAATGTTAAACTTATGTCATGTTGTGTTAAATGTTCAGAAATCAAAAATGTGATAACATGCAAAATATTGACTTTAGAAAGTCAATATTAACAAAATCACTGAATAATGCTGTACAGGAATAAAATGAAACATGATCAGAACCTTTTCAAAAATGGTCGGAACTTTAGATAGTAAAACCAGGTTTGCTTAATTTGGTAGTGGTACCATACATATTAACATATTTGGTAGATACATATACATTAACTGCAGGCCCTCTGTTACTGTCTTTCAGTACCTAGTGGTCAGACTGATGATTATTTTTTGTTCATTTATCTTTGGACCTTGTAACAAGACAATTTACAAACAATTTATTTTCCTGTTAAGAAAAATATTAAATGCTAAATGGCCATATCATTTTGTACTTGTGTATCTTTAAGCTTTACTTTGTTAACATACGTAGGATGATTTTAGTAAACGTATTTTGAACGTTTTAATACCCGTTTATATAATGTTAATACAAGTGGTGATTTGACATAAGAAAATAAACTGGGATTTAAGTTATAATGATATCAAAAACAGATTTTTATCAATTGCCGTAAGAAAATTGTAAGCGGAAATACAAAAATGATTTTAAATAATTAAGAGATGCGGGTTGCCATAAAAATAACTAAAGAAATTCTGGAAACATTAATGTCCTTCGGTAGAAAGCAAC